ATAATGAAGTAATTGACAAGTGGAAAATAAATATATTTCAAAATTATGACAAAATGACATGTGATCAAATAAATGAGTGAATGATAAGTGGCAATAACATTTTCATTTATTAGGGTAAATTGGAGAGCAAAGAAAAATAAAATAAAAATGTATGAAAGAGGGCATAAGAAAAACGTATCTCTTGCTTGAAGCTTTTATTTACCAAAACCGAATTTGGATTAATCCAAATTTCAATTTTGGTTTTAGGTTTGGTTTCGGGACCGGATCAGACCGAATTATATAGCTTGAGTTATGGTCTAGGGGAGTTAAAAAAAATCCAAACCAAATTACCTATTTAATTAATTTGTTCATTGATTAAATATTGTATTTTTTTATACTTTAAAAATTAAATGGAAAAATAAAAACATCCTTTGATATTTTCATATTTCATAGATAAATCGACTTTCAGCTCAAAAATACCAAAAATTTCCCTTATTTAATCCATATTTCTTATCTTTTGTTGTGTCTAGTTTGGAACTTCATATTTCATGTTTGAAAGTTAAACTTTAGATTAAGGATGAGCAGAACTATCTGGGGAACCGGAACCAAACTCATATTTGAATACTTTAGATTTTATGTTTGGAAAATTTAACTTTGGAATTTATTTTTAATGTTAAAATTTGGTTTTCTAAGTTTCCAAACAAAACCAAACCGAATTGTAATTCGGCTTTTGATTTGGCCCGATTGCATTGAATTTGGTTTGGTTCGTTGTACCATTACCGCCTAAAATAACTTTAAACCTAATAAACCATAGACCAATTAAATCAATTCCAACCCCTACCATGTTCTAAAGCAATCGAAAATTTAAATAAAATATGTTGTGAGTGTTTTGATATTTTAACATGTGGATTCGGTTTCAACTCTCACATATAATTCATAGAACAACTGCAAAATCACTTTTTCATATTAGTGGGTAAAACTTTACAAATACATCTCTTATTCGTTTTCTTTATATTATTTAAATAGTTGTCATTTCTTTCATATTCAAGCTTCATGGACGTATTGGCAGCTATGTCGATGAAATTGCAGTGCTAAATGGGAAGTTAAAGGTTTGGAATAGAACGTAATGGGTAACCGAATACAAGTTATAAAAATAATAGTCAATGTTCTGATTTTTTTACAAATGATTAATTTATTGTGGTCAATAGGTATGTTGACCTTTTATTAAGATAATTTAAACACTACAAAACAAGACTAACTCATTGAGATAACCTGAACAGAAGACTTCCTAATAGAATATGAACTTGGATAATATTTAAGAAAGTCTCATTGAAGGACTCTCAAAAGTTAAACTCTCAATTATATCAAAAAACCTCTTGCAAAGTTAGACATTGCTAGTAAGAAATATGGAAAATTATGATATTATGAAGAAGCGTGGCTTAAATATCGGTCCAAATCGGCAAAAAAAAAATGGCATGTTGAAAAGGTTACACTTTGGAAACTTCTTAATCAGTGGATAGGGTTAATATGGGACAAAAAATAATGAATGGTTTAATTATACCAAAATGAGATTTTCTTATATGTACTTTAAGGGTACATATAAAAAGTATTAATTATAAAAAATACTACCATAATTAAATGTGAAATGCATTAATTATGGAAATTATTAATGAAATTTAAATTTAATTATGGTAATATTTCTTATAATTAATGTATTTAACATTTAATTATGGTAATAATTATGATTAATTAATACTTCTTATATGTATCTTTAGAGCATATATTAGAAAATCCCTACCAAAATAATCAGGAATGGTTTTTGTAAAATTTATACCTATAACCACAATAATTGTATCATTTTCCATATTTTAATTTTGAACTAAGATAATGTTTGGTAGGCTTGATGGAAAACTAAGGTTTATCCTTTTTTTAAAAAAATGGGTTTTTTCTCAATTTGAACACAAATTCAGAACTCGATTCATTAAGAAATGGATAATCGACTTTAAATTTGTGTTGCAAAACTCATTATGTTCTACTAGGTTGGTTGATTGTAGGTGACAAGTACTCGACTAGGGTAAATTATAAAGCTACAATTTTTGAGAATTTTATGTATGAACATTTAATAAGGTGATTAAGTTAACAACAAAATAAGAAAATAGCATCAAAATATACATGTACAAATGTTAATATTTTAATCTTGAAAATGTGGAAGGACGTAGAAAGAGAAATTAATCTTTTGGTTTTTTCAAGTTTACAAATCACAACCATTAGATAAATTTGATCATAAAGGTTTTGATGTAGTTCTTAGTTTTCCGTAAACTTCCAACAAGTGTGGCCACACTGACCTCCACACCTAGAATCAGCGGTCTTGGACCGCTTCGGTGCCGGTTGCGACTACGCCGAGGCCTGGCTCTGCTCTCTCAAGTGTAACTCGATCTTAAGTCCACGTCGCCTAGTGGCCTCCTGTAACTCCAGTAATGTATCACAACGTCGGGTAGCAACGAACTGTCTTATGGTAGTCTTGAGCATACTCAGATAACGAGTCATTTGAGCATGCTTGGAAGCAAACTCCGGGAAAAACATCGCCCTCTCAGTGAAAATATAGGTGATCTCTGTACCCTGTCTCAACTCCAAAAACTCATGTGTCAGTCACTCTCGCTCAACCCATGGAATGTAGAGAGTGCAGAACATCTCCCTGAACCGATCCCAAGTAACCGCAACTCTCTACTCATCAAAATACGACCATGTCATCAATCTCCACCAGTCCTTTGCTCCGGACCTCAACGAGTTCAGAGCACACTTGACCTTCTGGTCAGTAGGACATGAGCATGTGAAAAAGCATCCCTCAACATCAGATAACCACCTCATTGAAAGTCAGGGGCTTCGTGTTATCGAAGTCCCAGTACTGAAAAGTCTAACCCGTCCCCGTACCTGCAGCTGTTACGATTGCGGAGGCTATATGTCGTCTCAGCTATGGCTGCACAGCGCTCATCGAATTACTCAACCATGGCGGTCTTGATAGACCCAAACATCTCTGACAGTTGTACCCAGAATAGTGCAACAACCTCATCGTGCAGGATCTCTCGGGTCCTAGCATCCAACTCCTCCGGTCTCATCTGACTAGTGGTCCCTGTCACTATTGCTGGCCCGCCCTGACTGCCAGCTTCTGATCTTGATCCAGATCTGGTCTCAAATCGCCTCGTAGTCACCGTTCTGAAAATACACTAGAAAGATATCAGATACTCCATATAATAATGGGGAACCAACTCCCAACTAAACCTTAGGGGTTGTGACTTCCTTGCTACGTGTATGGGTCCTGTGCTTTCAGTAGTACAGGCCATACTACCTTCCACAACTACCCATATTTATCTCAAGGATCATCACAACACCCTAACAGTGTACATAAGCATACGCGAACACTCAATCCTCATTCCTAGAGGAAGGCTAAATATCTCACAACTAGTCGACTGACCCTGCACAACTCATCTATGAAACTTCCACCAACCCTACAACGCTCGTGTATGGTAGCCAAACATAAAATTGGACCCTGTAGACATTCGAATATCCGATCCTACTCTAAGCCCTTCATCAAACAACAACAGGAAATAAGGCCAAACCAAACATTCTTAGGCTATAAGATCTTAGTTATGTACAACTATGATGCATACACTAAGCAACTATAGTAATGTTGTCAATTCCATAAAAGAAAAACCGTAGGCTATCAGGCATCATATAATTACACTACTAGAAAAACAGCCTTTTACGACGCGCAATGTGTGTCGTAAGACGCTCAAATGACGCGCAAATGCGCGTCAAGGAAGGCTCTGTCATAACGAGAGACGACACGCTTTTGCACGTCATCTATAGACGACGTGCATTTACGACGCGCATTTATGACATGCAATGCGTATCATTAAAACCCTTGTCAAGAAAGGCCATGTCATAAATGAAGATGACACACATTTCTGCGTATCGTAAATTTTAATGTTTAAAAAAGTATATTTATATATTTATTAATGGAAATAAAATAACATATAAAAAAAATACAATCCATTGCATAAAATTTAATGTCATACAATTCTATTTCTTACAATATATAAATTTGCATTCATCTAATCTACTCTGTATTTCATAGTAACAAATGAAATGAAGAATGCAACACTTGCATTTGCAGCATCTTATCTCTTACAGCTTGAGCTTTCTTTTCCTCTTCTAACTCCGGAGCTATTCGCTTTCATCAATCATGTAAACACAACACAAAATCACTTGTCATTTTCATTATACTTTTAAAATTAATTCTTATTAGGACATTCTACTTTTAAACCTACCAATCTAGCAAATTTTTCAAAGAATATAATTTATAATTTTTTTTTATCGAAAGTACATTGCTATTTCTTGAATACAAGGTGTTACAAATCAAGAAACTTACATGGACTGCTGACCACCAGTTTCTTGCATCAAATTAAAACTATTTCACATCAAATTAAAACTTATTTTAATCAAATTTGTATTATAAAAATAGTAATCTTATTTTGATAAAATATAAGAGATTTTTGCTAATTAAACTTACATAAAATATAAGAGATTTTTGCTAATTTAATAAATTATAAGAATATATTAAACCTGGTTCATCTAGGCTGTGGGATTTTCTATATATTCCAAGATCAGTTCCCTATGTACAAGGACCAAACCAAACCTTAGCATTTGCATCCACTCTCTCATTGCCATTTAACATAGAGCATGCCTTAAGTGACATTTCTGCTCCAATCTCATACATATAATTGGCTACTTCTATGCAAGTTTTTAACCCACAAAGTAAGTTTCTGGTTATCAGGCAGCTGCAAACCCATCAGGATCAAGTTACACAACCTCAAACAACAAACAATAATCTACTCATTAATGCTTCACAAACAATAATCATGTACCTGTTTCTCCCAAAAATCTCTATTCCCTTCACATATAGTTCTTTCTCAAGAGTTTTACATTCACAATTTTACTACTGGATTTGACAAATTAACAACCTTTTCTGTTTTTTAAGGGAAGATTCTTGTTGCTCGTTAGTCACATCTTTTGATTCTTCTAACACTGTGGTTGTTTGTTTTGATACCTTATGCTTCCCTGTATTGTCATCATACATAGATTAAACCATCATACCAACTACCAACACATACAACTTCACATGTAATTAAAACACTTGACAAAACAATCCTCTTTCCCCCTCCAAAAGGCAGCAATGAGAACCAAATTTATTTATAAAAAAAAAAAAAAGGAGAGAGAGAAAAAGAGAGACTACTTGCATCTAGCCTCTAAAAATGTGCGTTGTGTAATCATCACCTGGATCAGCACCAATCTGGATCTTCTGATCTGAGGCTCTGTTGTGTGTCTCGCTTAAGACATCTAGACAATCTGAATGCTTCTTCTCAGTTTGAAACTGTAATAATTGAGATACAATTTCATTTTGAGGGGATAGATAAAGAAATACATACAAATATGAATGACCATCAATTTATCAGTAATCAAACGGGATAGTTCTCTTCAGCTGAAAGATAGAGCCTTTGATGGATCCTAGTGAATCAGTTACTAGGGAATGTGAAATGTAGGTTGGATTGGTAAACCTAAAGGTAACAGTGATCACCCAGACGATAAATGCCTTGTCCTTATAGAAGTAACAAACCATGATGATTAAAATGGACTTCCTGCAACAATATATATATATATATATATATATATATATATATATATATATATATTATAGTTTTTGTTTTTTCAAGACTGTTGAGTTAAATAAACACATTTTAATAAGTAATGTAATGACATACTTTTACATTAAGAAATTCGCCAGGTTGGAAGTCCATGATCTGCATGATTACAAATTCCAAAATTTAGAATACGCGTTTTAATATTTGATTATTAGTCAAACACATCAAAATTATAAAGTAAAATCTTTTTAAAAGATAAACTATAGCTTACATGAATGTTGAAGTCGTAAGGCAGAGATGTAGGAAGAAGCTTCCTCAGTTGGAATACCTAATATGGAAACAGTAAAAAAAAGGTAAAATAGAACCTGGACTCTTATTCAAGGCTGGTTGTTAAAAAAGTACATACCTCTCCAGGGGTATCAAGAAGTGGTTGCTGATTGGTGGAGCCAACAATTGGCTTGGGAATATGATCTTCTAGGTAAGCATACCTAAACAAAAGTTAAATTACTTTTTAGCCCTTATGGTTTATTGATAACACACACACACACACACAGATGCATGATGAAATAAAGAGAAGGAATAACATACCTTCTTTCAAATACAACAAGTGTAGAAGATTCATAACTCCTAAAGTGATGCTTTGAGTTAGGAGGTAGGTAAGCAAACGAGTCTACCTACAGTTCAATGACAAATATTAACTGTTGAGGAATACATTTACTTGATTGGAGAATTTTTCCCTCTTCTTTATAAGAATGTCTTTCAAGAATGATATTCAACTTCAAAATTGGGAACAAAACATGTAACTTTAATGTTCATATAAATGTTACTACACAAAAGAAAATTCAAGATTAAAGGGTTGTTTACCATTAGTGTTTGGCAAATTCCTGAAACATTAGTGAGAATCACCAAACCTTGAACAAAAAATACAAACCTAAATGATAAACATGAATTAAACACAACTCGAGTCACACTATGATTCAAAAGACACTTGATTTGATTATCAATTGAGGGGGTCATTAATACCTCTCAACATGTTTAGGAGGTAGCCCTGATTTTGAACTTTCTGCACAGATGAAACCAATCATTTTGATGATAAGGAACTCCGTCATCATTTGGCTTTACAAAATTAATAATCAAAAAGTAAAATATAAATACACCTTGCATCTTTGCAATATACATAACAAAATGAGCTCCCATTGCTGGCGAGACTAAATAGGCCCCTATCTCTTCAATTGTCTTCCATGAGACTGGAGAGGAATTTCAATCCCCTCCTAAAAGAAGAAATTCCTTGCATCAGGTCAAATGGATTAATTTGGTTAACCGTACTATACCCACTATATGGTTCTGTTTAACACAATATAAACAAATCAAAATACATTAGATCACATTATTTCAATTTCTTATCAAAAAGAAACACAAGGTTCAAAAGGTTCTCACAGATTTATCTAACCAAATCATTTTATTACATTATTCATAAAACACACTACAATGATGACATGTGAGCACGTACTGGGTAATAATTTCCAGCAACTGGTTCATTCATTTGCAGCTCCCAATCTGTTCTGAAAACACGAACCTGTAAAACAGTAAATTTTATCATGTGAGAGACAAGTACAGAAACAACCATCTATAAAGTATATACCCTTTTAATGAAGTTTTTCCTGTTAGAATCCGTATAGAATGTTTTGTTTGTCTTCGAGGCACTTGTGATTTGAGTTGTTATTTCTTTCCCAACACCATCATCTATATATAGGGATAGGTTCAATCTGATAGTACCAAAAATAAGATATGTAATTATAGAATACACACACACACACAGACACACACATTCTGGTAAAGTGTCAACAGGAAACTACTACAACTACATTAAATCAAAAGGGAATAAAATTATTATGATAAACTCAACTTCAGTATGTTCCTTCTCCTTGTATACACGGGTGACCTGATATATCCAGGAGTTTAACTGGTCAAGTCACAAACAAACTCTTTTTTACCCCTCAAAATAACCAAAACTCTCTCTCACCCATTTTGTGAGGCATTGTTGGCCCTTAGTCCGGTTAATATCCACTGTTTTTCGCCCAGAAACAAGCTCCAAGAGTACTACACCGAAGGAATATACATCAGCCTTTTCAGTCACCTCCCCCACTTTCAGCATACTCTGGAGCTAAATATCTAAGTAATGACAAATAGATAATTTTCTTATTCACAATAGGCTAATTCCACAACTAAATGCAATGCTTTCGGGAAGATTACAAAAATTAGACCAACTTTATAAATTATTGTTTCACAAATGACAATATTATGGAAATAGCATAAGGGAAACAAGAAGGCTTGCTTACCCGAATGTTCCAATTACTTTTGTATGTTGCTTCTCCTTTGTCTCCATCAGGCTGCCACCTTGCTAAACCTAGTAAAAGCTTTCTGTAACAAAAGAAATCGTTAGTCACTTGTAACAGACAACAATAGTGGATAACTACCCCAAAAGACTATGGTTTACCTGCCCTTGAGATTTTATTGGAAATGTGGCATTAGGACAGAAGATATAAGCTCCAGAAGCCTTCAAAAATTAGGAAAAACATCAGAAAATGAACAAAATTCATGTAACTAACTTCACTACACATACACAAACACACACATTCTAGTTGAGAAATTGAATATACATGGTCTGTCCCATTACAACCAGAATAGTAGCTGTACGAGTGTTCCATGGCTCCTTCAACCTTTAATCATGTGCCAAACATGAGAAAATCAATGTGAACAGAGGAATCGAGCAGAAAACCCTAGCTTACAGATAAAATCAACATAAACAGTTCAAATTTAGATGAGAGAAAGAGAAGGTACGATGCTACGGCGGCAATGGCGAAACCAAAAGCAACTAAGCATAAGATGATAACTAGAAGATGAACTAGGGATGAGCCTTTTCCTTCGCCCATCTTTCTTGTGTTGTTGCTGCTGCTTCTTGGTTGTTTGTAGAAAGAGAAAGAGTGGAGTGAAAAAGGGTGTGCTGTTGTTGATTAAGTAAGAAATGGAAAAAGCGTGGCGAGAGACATACCTTCTTTGATAAGTGAGAGATCCAATGACGATATTGTATTCAGACACATTGTTGGCGTAAACTGACGACGGCCAAGTTCTGTGAGCAGTGGTTGGCGATTGGCTAATGAACCAATAATAGTGAAAATGAATGCGATTGGCTAATAAAATCCCCACTTCATGGGTGCGCACTTGTGAGGTCCGGAGCATAAAAAGTAAAAACCCTAGTTCTTCTTTGATATCGGGGACATGAAAAGCCTTAAAATCATCGGTGTTTCGAGTTTGAGGAGTCGTAGACCCCCAATCGCCGACTCCGTGAAAGATATTGTGAGGTTTGATTTTTGGGGAAGGCGGGGTACTTGAATTTTTTGGGGATTTGGTTTCCCCCCTTAGTTGCATGAAAGAGGGACACGCGTATTAAAATTTTATAAAGCGACATCTCTACACGACATCCACTTAAATTTATTTGCCTTCCGTGTTTTTAATTTTTTTTCCATTGGACATTAATTATAGCGCACACACAAATACATGTCCTTTATCCTTCAAATTTTGCAAAACTGACATTATTTTTTAGGACACGTACAAATGCGCGTCGTGTATCAGCGCATATCATTGTTTACGCATCATTAAAGGGCTGTTTTCTAGTAGTGTTAGGAAATTATATCATGCAATTCCAGAAGATCCCTAGCCAATCACTAGCATGTTGTTCTAACATATCACAATATCAAATAACTGTAGGGTATTTTAGGGTCTACTTACTAACTCCGACTGATCGTACACTTCACATCCTTCTTTAGTATTTTGAAAACCATTTGAAAATCATTTTAAAAATCATTTCCTTAGTTTGAGACTGGATTCACATGAGTGTTCCTCCAATTCAATCAAACCAAGGCTCTGATACCAACTTGTAACATCCATAAAATTCATAAAAATTTAAAACTTTTTCAAGCATCCAAAAACCATTACTTATTACAAAATGTTTTCAAAATAGTTTCATATCATAGTATCCCCTAAATCAAAATCATAAAATATAAGGAAGAGCACGATCAATCCTTTGTCTTCCCGCAATGTTCCCTCAAAATACTGATACATAACAACTAGCACACATAATAACAACATGTAATGGGTCCACAACTTTACATACTGGATTATCCTCGAGCCCACAGTATGAGTTTGGCTTGCCTTATAGGCCCACAACTCACATATGGCTTGCTCCCGAGCCCACATCATAAGTCTGGCTTGCTCTCGAGCCCACAACTTATGATTGGCTTGCCTCTTCAGTCCTAAGACTGGAATCTAAATGATCAGCCCTTAGTGCGAGTCTGGCATGCTCCCCTGGCCCTCAGCTCGCATCTGGAATGCTTAGGAGTACTTAGTATGAGTCTGGCATGCTATCCCTGTCCCTTAGCTCATATCTGGCACACTCCAAGGTTTGTTGGTTTCCGCATAGAGCAGTACAACCTCAACCCTACCCACACAACATATCGACATGTAACAGCTAAATGCGCATACAGATAGTCAGACAGTATCACAGGTAGTCCTACATATCTACCAAACTAGCATGCATATGTAACTCACACTCAGCATATCAACAACTACCAGGATATCAATCCAATGGGTCGACCTGGTGCCTTCGACCCCTAAGTATAGTGAGGAAAACTCACCTCATAATGTCGAACTGAACTTAAAAGATCAAGCTCTCGAACGACGGATCCAAACTCAAACACCTACAACCACCATATGACCTAATCCATCAAGACCCAAATTACCAAAATACCCTCAGAAGTTAAACTTGGTCAACCCCGGTCAAAGTCAAAGTCAACAGTCCATGTTGACCCAACCCATCGGGTGTACCTAGTAACTTGTCAAGTTCCTTCAAAACTCAGAAAACCGGGAAAACCCTTAACTAATTCGTCGAGTTATCTCATCAACTCACCGAGTTTATTCAAAATCCAAAAAGCGGGAAAACCCGACTCAACTCGCCGAGTTGGCTAAGCAACTTGTCGAGTTCCTTCAACCTTTTCATATTCATTCCTTTCCAATCGAATCCAAAGCCCCAAACTACAGATCTAGTCTCTTAGGACTAAGATACCACATAAAGTTGCTAAATTTACGTGCATGCAAGGCATCAAAGGGATTAAAACACCAAAACTAAGCTTAATAAGAGGTTTAGGGCATGGAGGAGGGCTAAGACTAGATAAAGTGGGAAAATTTATGTTTATGGAGGCATAGAGGTGTCCAAATCTGAAACCTCATCCTCTTGACAAGCTCAAATCTGAGAATGACTCAATTTTGCACCAAAAATGACCATATACATTCATAAGAGGATATCTAAGCAATAAGAGATCAAGGTATCAACTTTATACCTCAATATGGTTGTCAAAACGTGGTAGATGTCGGATCTATAGCCTCCTCCTCACTCCGATCTCTTCAATCTTCGAGTTTCCTTCCAAAAGAGCACAAAAAGTCACCTTCCAAGCTTTCGCACACACACACACACAAGGAGATATGATGCACAAAATAGGGTTTCTCTAGGAGATAAGGTGGTAAGGGAGGCAGGTGATGGGACTTAAGGTTCATTAAATAGTGTGCAAACCTAAAAATTAGGGTTTTCATGCACAACCTCAACTCGTCGAGTTGGGGTCCTCCAACTCATCAAGTAGGATCCATAAACCACGCGACCTTATTAGTTTCTACAGGACGATTTGGTACCTCCAACTCGTCAAGTAGGTCTTATGTGTTGTACAAAATCTTTAAAATTTCATACATGGGAGTCGGGAAGTTACAAAGGGTGTGTTTCGCACGGAGCTTTTGGAAGCGTTTGGAAGCTTCTAGCTTTTAGCTTTTGACAAAACGCTTTAGTTTAAACAAAAAGTTTCGTTTGGCAGTACAAGCGTTTAGCTTTTAGTTTAAACAAAACGCTTTAAATCTAAAAGCTACTTCATATAGCGTTTAACAAAACGCTACTGAGCTTTTGAAATCAATTTCCATAATTACCCTTAAAAATATATTTATTTATTTATTTATTTTTAATCAATTATAATTTTATGTAATTTTATATATTTCAAAATCTACCAACAATTTTTTCCAAATGCTACAATTTCCTGATACCAACTACCTACTACACGCTACCCACTTCCAGCTAACAACTACTTTTTCCAAACACGCTCTAAATCAGTAACAAACTATTATAAATGTTTAAAAAGAACTAAAATTTTCAAACACTATTGGCCACTATAGCTATTTACTGCCACCCATCATTGTTCGCCACTGTCCATTTACTGCCACAAAACTCTAGAAAAAACTTTTGAAACAAAACAAAAATTTTGAAAACTAAAGTGAACTAAAATCTTGAAATTTTGATAAACACCAAAATGAATATAACAAATATTTCTAAACCAAAAATCACGCGGTGGGTTGAGTTCCAAATTTGAAGCCTAAAATGTATACTAAAATAATTTTAAGAAAGGGGTGTTTCTAGAACATTCTTTTGGTGATTGGTCGGGGATTAACTTTGTTAATCCTAATATACTGCTCCATTGTTTTTTATTGCCTAGGGTCTGAAGGTGAATCTTCATAAGAGTAAAGTGTTTGGAGTTAGAGTCGATATTAAGGAGGTAAATAGATTTACTAGCATTTTAAAGTGTGAGCCCGGTTCCTTTCCAGTCTCATATCTTGGTCTTCCAGTTGGAGCTAATAGGAAACTTTCTAAGAACTGGAGTCTGATCATTGAAAAGATCAAGAGAAAATTACTGATATGGAAATCGAAGACTCTTTCATTTGGCGGGCGACTTACACTTGTTAATTCAGTTCTGAATAGCTTACCCCTTTACTACTTTTATCTTTTTAGAGATCCTAAAAAGGTGATTAGCCAGCTTGACACCATTAGAAGAAGATTCTTATAGGGTGGTAATGAATACACTAGGAAAAATAATTAGGTTGCTTGGGAAGAGGTGATAAAACCTAAAAAAGATGGTGGGCTTGGTGTTTGTTGCCTTAACGGGGCTGATTTGGCCGTCCTTTCTAAATGCTGGTGGCGACTTAAAATTGGTTATGATTCCTTTTGGTTCCCTTGCATTCGTTCCATTCATAACATTAAGTTCATTGATGGGAGACCCCTTTCTAAAAGCTCTATTAAATGTGTGTGGCTTAGCATATCTCGAATTGGCGTCGATCTTTTGGATAAAGGGATAATTCGTGTTGATTTGTTCAAAAGGAAGGTTGGAAGGGGTGATAAAACCTTCTTTTGGAAGGACTAGTGGGGTGGGGACTTTACCTTGAAAGACCTCTATCGTAATCTTTATAGTGCGGATTCAAACAAGGACTGCCTAGTCAAAGATAGAATCATTCACGATAATGTTGACGATGTGAAGTGGAATTGGAGCTGGTCTAGGCGTATTAGATCTGGGAGAGAATCTAATCAACTCTTGCTTCTCACGGACCAGTTAAATAACTTTAAGTTTTCTAGTATTTGTGACAGGTGGCTTTGGAAAGGTGCTAGCACTCCGTTTTCGGTGAAAGAGCTAAGGAAATTTGATCGACGCCTCATCTGAAGTTAACATGCCAAAGTTCAAGTGGGTTAAGTGGATCCTGTTAAAAGTTAGTTGTTTTGTGTGGAGACTGATTAGAAATCGCATCCCACTTTCTTTTAATCTTTTGTCTTGTGGAGTTTATGTTGCATCAACTGTAACATACCGAGTCCAGGAGCAAGTTCGAGGTTCAAAGTGTAAATTTGAAGGGCAACTCGGCGAGTCCATGGGTGGACTCGGCGAGTAGGGTCGCGACTCAGGTCGCGTGCTAAGTGGCCAACTCGGCGAGTCCAAAGCTGGACTTGGCGAGTAGGCGTTGTGCGAAGAAAAACCTAATTTCGGGGAATGAGCCCTATATAAAGGACATTATACCCTCTCCCCAACCTCCTTACCTTCCCTTGAAGTCCATAAAACCCTAGAAATGTGATTGTGAAGGATTTGAGTGCATTTGAGCCTTGGAGAAGAGATTTGGAGGAAGATCTTGGAGAGTTAGGAGGCTTGGAGCAAAGGGATTTGCTTAGATTCAGATTTCCTTGATGATTGGGGCTTCCTTTTGAGGTATTATCTCGTTTTTGGGCTGCTATTCATCTAGATTCATCATTTTTGGGTTGTGTGGGAAGTTTAGCTTGTGGTATTTAGAGATTGAAGGTTAGATCTGAGGTTGCTACCTCAGATCTGGAATGGAGAAGGTCTAGAGTGCATTAAAGTCCATGTTATTGAGTGATTGGTGAAGCCATCTTGTCCCAAACCCTAGCCCTAGAGTGTAAATTTCCTAGATCTCTTTGGATTCACGTAAAGTTTGCCACTTTACGTGATGGAAGGGTTGTAGAAGGGTAGATCTACGTTTTGGATCGATTGTATGGCCTGGAA